ATATATATATATGTAGCTGGACTTGTTTGTTTGCAGTTTTCAAAACAAAAAGGTATATGGCAGAGGCTGGGGCGAAATGTTTGCACTGGTTTCTCGGTATCTAACAGATGTTGGAACGGTTCTGGAATTGTAGCAAAGTTAGCCTGCTTTTCTGTTTCAAAGTTTTCGTTTGAAAATTTCTTCAAGCCGTCTTTGCTTCTTTCTTTCATTAATTTTGCCTGCTTTTAAATCATATTTCAACTGGTAATTTTTTCTGTTGCGTCTTATAAAAAAAGAGAATTTATTTATTTATTTTTTTGATTTAGTTTTCTCCACTTTTATGCAGTTCACATCCGTTTGTTCTTTAAAACACTAATCAGTAAAGGACAACAGTCACTTGAGATTGGCATCTCAGAAGCTTTTAAGCCCCCAAGTCTTTTAACAAAAAAAAAATTTTTTTTGAATTATTGATATCATTAATCGAGAAACACTGAGGTTTACCGTTGCTTAGAAAAAAGATATGAGTTATTAAATGCAGTCAACCACCGCTACCAAAAAAGAATACTACTTTTTAACAGTTTTTTCCTGTCTAAAACTTTCTAAAAACGACGCAGCAGTTTTGTTGTTTGCTTCACAACTGAATCCGGAGACCGCACAGTAAAATAATTTCTTTTGATTGATCATTTACGAGTCAGTTAGTTGGATGCATAATTAGTTGGTTCTTTCTTTCGCTGCTATAACGCAGCAACTGTCAACGTATCATTGAAGTTTTCCGGGTTCTACGACAAAAATTTCAACGTAGATAAAGGAACAACGGGGAGGGAAAATTGATGATAACAACGGCTTTCTTTTTAACCGCGTATTGTTCCCTGCAAGTAAGTCTGATGTAACAGAACTGCTGCTGAATGAATGTTTAATTAAAGATTGAAGAATGGATCTTATGATTTTTAAGCAGTTTTATCACTTGTTTACTTGTTGCTGACTCTTCAGTGCCTAAACTGCAACCGAAATCACTATAAAGGTAAAAATAGCAAGATTCAGACACTTATTTTTTTTCATTAAAAAAGATAACATTTCAAAGACGTAAGTAAAGCATATTAAGTTGAATCTTTTGAACAAATATTTTAAGGAGATAAAAAGCACTCTTATAGGTAATTTATTTCTTTAATGTAACTTGAATGGCTTACGAGTGTACTGGTGACTTTATTGTATTAGCTGATACAAGTTAAAAAAGTGAATGCTGGTTTTCAGATAGATTTTTCGGTTGTTTAAAAATATCTAAAAGC